GCACCTGGCGCTGGACTGCGCGGTGGACAGAGGGGGCGCGGGACCGACCGCGTGGAAGGGCGGAGCTATCTCTTAGGGGGCGTGTCCTTCTCGGAGAGGGGCGGGGCCACGTGGAGAGTGGCTCTCTCCCTGGGGGCGGGCCTTCCTGGAGAGGGGTGGAGCTATTAGGTGGCTGGTCCGTCTGGGGGGTGGAGCTACCCTAGGGGCGGGGCCTTCTGGGAGACAGGTGGAGCTACCTTTTAGAGCACAGGTGCTTCTGGGAGAGGGGTGGGAGCTAATCTTCACAATGGGCGGGGCCTTTAGGGGGAGGGGCACGGCCAGGCCCTTGGCCTCTTCTGAGCCCCGTCTCCCTCTGTGTGCACCAGGTCTGTGGGACCCGGTCCTCCAAGCACATCTCCAAGCTGGCTTATCACCAGGGTGTGGTCATCGTGACTTGCCCTGGCTGCCAGAACCACCACATCATCGCGGACAACCTGGGCTGGTTCTCCGACTTGGATGGGAAGAGGTGAGGCCTCCTGGGCAGGGTTGGCAGGACAGAGTCCCAGGTCAGGGGCCCCACCCAGCCTCCCTGGGGCTCCCTCCCCCTAATGAAGTTTATGGAGCCCCCTTCTCTCACCTTATCAATACTGGAGGAACAATTAAATTTGAATGTCAGATAAGCCACAAATAACTTTTGTATAAATATGCCCCAAGTATGGGATGTGTTTTTATTTGCCAAATCTTCTGCCCTAGATCAGCCCCCTTGGCCCTGCTGCACTGCCTGACTTCCTCCCTCACTGACAGCAGGCAGGACCCTCTTGTCAGGGCCACAGGCCCCCCCTAAAGTGAAGGGTCAGACTAGATTGACTCTTAAAGCAGTGACTTCCTTTCATTTTGTGGTTCCTTCCTTCACCCTACAAAGATTTCTTGAGTGCCTGCTGTGGGGCGGGGATCCTAGCCAGTCAGTTTCTTATCTTCTATCACTGCTGGCTGGTTGACCACGCCAGACTTGGGGGTGCATGTAACGTAGTGTCGACGGGGTCCTGGGCCTGCAGAGTTGGCCCCACCCCTCTGTGGAGAGCAGTGGGGGGCAGTGGTCAGGAGCTTGTGGCCAGGTAGCCCCGGACAGTTCAGTTTGGTTTCTGAGCAAACATTCTCCCCTGGGAATGGCATGGTAAAAGTGCTTCCCCTGGGGGGCATGGAGAAGGCTCCACGAGGACCACATACAGTAGCCCTGATGCCACACCAGTACAGGGACCCATGTTCCTAGCTCAAGCCTGGCCTTGGGTGCTCTCAAGGGACTGAGTTGTAGGATTGGTCAGGGAGGGGCCTGGAGTGTCATGGTGCCTCCCTCTCTCTCAGGAATGTTGAAGAAATCCTGGCTGCCAGAGGGGAGAAGGTGTGCCGAGTGGCCGGTGATGGGGCCCTGGAGCTGGTTTTAGAGGCAGTGGGAGCCCCTAAATCTGCTGCAACAGAAGAGGTTGAGGACCAAGATCCTACCCACCCTGGCAAGACAGAGCCCAGGTGACCCTACCTTATGCCCTTAAGAACGATGCTTTGACCCTGGGCCGCTCTGCACTTACCTGTTTCTGTCAATAAACAGATATCACTTGCAGGTGACAGGCCTTGGGCTCTCCTGTTGTCCCTAGTTCTGGAGTTAGAATGACTTACAGGAACTCCTCCAGGTGCAGCTGTAGAACTCCTGGCCCACCACTGTCACCCTGCTCAGATGAACCGCCCTTGTACTTGCCTCATGCAGGTCATGTCCGTGTGGGAAGGGGCTGGACATGGGGCCTGAGACCCTCCTGACTGGCTGTGTGGACTTGGGGAGGTCACTTTGCCCCTCTGAGCCTCTGTCTTCCTGTGTGCAGATGAAGATGCTCATAGTGTCACCCTGTCAGGTGCACAGATGGGAAGAGCAGACTTGGGACGGGCACAGGGTGACTCAGTTGGCTCATTTGTGCCCAAAATGTCTGAGGAGAGGCCTGGAAGGGATGGCCAGCTAGCCACTGTTCCTCCTGGGGGCAGGATCAGCGCACCTTGTGGGTCCCATTTCTCTGGCCAGACACAGGGAGGCCCCACAGATCCTTCCCATGCCACCTGCTATCCCCTGGATACAAACCAGGCTGCTCACTGCAGCTGCAGATGGGCTGGTTGGCCTTGGTGACAAGACCAGTGGGAGCTGGGCTGCCATCTGATGGGTGGGGGGCCGTGAGTGCCCCACGTGGTTCCCCCACCTCTGGGGTATGCAATTTGTCTTGCAACCTTGTTTGACTGCCTTCTCAGGATGTTCCTGTGTTTATAAAAGTGTGTTTATTTCCAGAAGTGTTCTGGGTTGTGTGACCTTCAACATGAATCACCAGCCAGTCTTGGATCCCTGCAGGATCTGAGCTCCTGATTACTGCCCCGTGTTGGCACTCAGAGCCTTGGCTTTGTTCTCTGGGGCATTGGCAGTTTGCTTTGCCTCGATTACCCCCTGTCCTTCCCTTGGCAAACAACCCCCTATTATTCCTACCCAGAGAGAGCCTGTTCGTTTGCAGAAACTGTCGTCATCCTGGAGTCTCAGCCGCCCCTTCTGCTCCTTCGTGGAGGCGCTGAGGCCATGTGGGGACTGGCTGGCCTTGAAATACAGGAGCAGGGGGCTGTGCCTTGGCCTGGCTGCCTCACTGCCCCCAGAGTTGGGACCAGAGTTTGGGAAGACCTGGGGAGCTGGCTCAACCTAGTAGGGCCACTCAGGATCCTCCCTTCATGGGTGAGGAAACAGGCCTGTGGTTTGGATGTGTGTGTTGACCATGTCTTATTTTTTCCATTCTGATGCTTTGACATCTGAACCCTGCTGACCTGGAGAGACTGCCCTTTCCCCGGCCCCAGGCCTGCCAGGGCTAGTCAGTTCCCAGAGAGGTGACAGACATATGTGAGGGCACCCAGGCAGGCACCAGACAACCAGAGCATCCCTTCAGCCTGGTTGAACTCCTATGTCCCCCCTCCTCTTGGGACCTGTGACAGTATCATCAACTGCCTTTTCAGTGGCATCGTCTCCTGACCTGGCTTCACACCTGAAGGACAATAAAACCTACCTTTTCAAACTGTGGCCATCTCTAGGCCTCGCCCGTTTTCCAGTCATGTCTGAAAAAGCCCATTGGGGGCCTTCCTGTTGTCTGCCCCCCTGATTATCTTTCTTCCCCCAGCCCCAGTCCGAGACCCTCTCCAAAAGGTCAAATTAGGGAGTCCTGTGTCTGGGGACATTCAGTAGGGTTAGACACCACCACATAGCTTCCTGTGGGACTTCTCAAAGCCTTTAGTTGCTGAGAGAGGACATGGCACCCAGTGTTATTTGCAGAGCCTTTGAGTGCCAGGGTTCTTGAAGCATTGAGAACTATC